AACACACACAAAAAAAAATTAAAAGAAAGAAAATATTAGTCGTGCCTATAATCCTAACTACTCAGGAGGCTGAGGCAGGAGAGTTGCTTGAACCCGGGAGGTGGAGGTTACAGTGAGCTGAGATTGCGCCACTGCACTCCAACCTGGGTGACAGAGCGAGACTCCATCTCAAAAAAAAAAAAAAGAAAAAATATATATGTATATAAAATATATATATTTATAAAATATATTTTTATAAAAATATAAAATATAAATTATATTTATATTTATAATTTATATTTAAAGTATATAAAATAAAAATATGAAATATATTTATAAAATATATATATAAAAAGATGGACTCATGGATATTTATTTTATTTTCCTTTACAGGTTATCTGTTACTATTTTTGTTTATTTGGTTGCTCAAATTGTCCCGGATTTGCCCACGGGAGATGCTTTGAGCTGATGCCTGAGTTCTTTTGACATGCTGTCATCATTCATCATTTTCTGAGCACTTTTCTACTTTCTGGTATCATAAAATGTTCATGATTCATCTCCTGTCTACCTTGTCCTACTTCTGGAAATGGCTATTTCTCAAAGGAGTCCTTGATCCTTTATAATTTTTTTTTGTCTTTTTAGGGAATACTATTTAGAAACTAAGCTCTGTGCTTATTGCTTACTCAGTGTCATTTCTTGTAAGCCCTCTTAGAGCTTGGAAATGTATGTATGTACATATGCACATATATGGCTATATGTATTTTTATTTCATCACTAGAAATATGATTCTCATTATTTGACATAGGTATGAAGCTTAGGGTTTGTGTTAGGCATCCAAATGGAGGTATGAAGTAGGTAGAAGTCTGGGCAAGTTAGGGGAGGGGTCGGGAGTTTGTTGGTCAATATACAGATGCTATTTTTTTTTTTTTTTCGAGACGGAGTCTCGCTCCGTCACCTAGGCTGGAGTGCAATGGCATGATCTCGACTCACCGCAACCTCCGCCTCCCATGTTTAAGCTATTCTCCTGCCTCAGCCTTCTGAGTAGCGGGGATTACAGGCATGCACCACCACACCGGGCTAATTTTGTAATTTTAATAGAGACGGGGTTTCTCCATGTTGGTCAGACTGGTCTCGAACTCCCGACCTCAGGTGATCCACCCGCCTTGGCCTCCCAAAGTGCTGAGATTACAGGCGTGAGCCACCGCATCCAGCCTTACAGATGCTATTGAAAACTGAAAACTGGTGAGATCACCAAGGGAGTAAGTGCAGATAGAGAAGAGAAGCCCAAGAACGGAGTCTTGGAGCAGCCCATTTTTGAGAAATCAGAAAGAGGAATTAGTGAGACTGAGACTGAGTGGCCAGAAAGATGAAATGGAATGGTTTGGTGGAAACCAATGAAGAAGCATTCCAAGGAGGAAGGAGGGAGCATATGTGTCTGTTGCTATTGATAGGTCAAGTAAGATGAAGACTGAGGATGGAACCATTTAGCTTACCAACATGGAGGTCATTAGTGACCTTGAGCGCAGTTTCAATGGTGCAGTCAGGGGAGTTGCCTGGAGTGGTTTAAATGAGAAGAGAGGCATTGGAGGTGTTGAGTCGAGGTAACATTGGGGCTTTTCTTGTCAAGGAGAAAAGAGAAAAAGGACAATCATTGAAGCAGGGACTGTGGGATTAAGACAGTCATTTTTAAGATAAGAGAAATAATAGCATTTTTATAATGAGTAGAGGGGAAAATGATGTGGGAGAAAGGTAGGAGGACATATATTATCTACAGGAAGTCTTGAAAGATTGAAAGTCCTGACTTTATAAAATGTTTTGTTAAGAATTTTCTTTTTAACTAAAAAAACGTCTGTCCCAATGCAATGTAGACAGTTTGGAAAGTAACGCCGGGTGCGGTGGCTCATGCCTGTAATCCCAGCCCTTTGGGAGGCCGAGGCGGGCGGACCACGAGGTCAGGAGATTGAGACCATCCTGGCTAACACCTGAAACCCCGTCTCTACTAAAAATACAAAAAATTAGCCGGGTGTGGTGGCAGGCACTGTAGTCCTAGCTACTCGGGGGGCTGAGGCAGGAGAATCGCTTGAACTCGGGAGGCAGAGGTTGCAGCGAGCCGAGATCGCGCCACTGCACTCCAGCCTGGGCTACACAGCGAGATTCCGTTTCCAAAAAAAAAGAAAGTTTGGAAAGTACTGAAGAAGCCAGGGAAAAACAAATTACCTAACTTTTTTTGTACTTTATGTGTACTTCGACCATGACTAGCTTTTTGGTAGGTGATCTTTTAATTACTTTGATTTGTATGATTGTGACTATATTTTCATTGTTATTATTATTTTTGAAAATTTGGGCTGAATAACACGTACTCTATATATATACGTATATATGTGTGTGTGTGTGTGTGTGTATATATATATTTTTTGAGACAGAGTCTTGCTCTGTCGCCAGACTGGAGTGCAGTGGCGCAATCTTGGCTCACTGCAACCTCTGCTTCCCGGGTTCAAGCAATCCTCCTGCCTCAGCCTCCTGAATAGTTGGGATTACAGGCGTGCACCACCACACCCAGCTACATTTTTGATAATTTTAAGGTTCCAAACATGGTTTGAATGGCTGCATAGAATTCTATCATAAATTCTGTACCTGATTCTTTGAGATTGGGCATTTATATCTTTGTTAGACACAACACCGCAGGGAACAACCTGTTTCTGTCTTTGTGTAGTTGTCTGATTTTATCTTTAGATTGAATTCATGGAGGTGGAATTGCAAGGTCTAACGATATGAACTTGTGAATATATTGATGCAGTTTCTCAAATTTCTCTTCAGAAAGAATATTTGCATTTTAATTCACCAAGTGGGTGTATGTTTTCATTTTCTCACCTTTGTCAACATTGGGCATTTTTGTTTTTAAAGCTGCCAGTCTTATATGTGATGCAATTCTTTACTATTGTTCTAATTAGATTTCTTTTGTTATTAGAGACATTTTACTTTTCCTCACGTTTTATGGTCCCTTGTATTTGCTCTCATGTGAATGTCCCGTTTTTCCCATCCCTTTTTTCCCCTGGGATGTTTGGCTTCCTTGTTAATTTTAAAGAGCTCCCAACTAAGGATAGTATCCTTCTTTTCTCCATGTCAATTGCACGCATTTCTTCCACATTAATTTGTGGTATTTCAGTAGTCTTTTAATTTTAATATAATCGAAGCTTTTTTATCTTTAGAATTAATTTCATAACTTTTTTCTTTCTCCTTTTCATACCCTGCCTGTGGTATCCAATAATGTCCTATCTTTTAATGCTCAGAAAACCTTTCCCAGGCTGAGGCCAGTTGCTTGGTCACTTGTATCTTTCCAGACTCCTCTTGTCGTCTTACCTTTTTTTTACTTAGCTTCTGAACCACCTTTTTAGATATGTGATATAAGGTAGGAAACTAACTTTTTCCACGTACTGAACCACTTCTCTGGCTTTGTGCTATGTCAAATTCTTTTTTTTTTTTTTTTGAGACGGAGTCTGGCTCTGTCGCCCAGGCTGGAGTGCAGTGGTGCGATCTCGGCTCACTGCAAGCTCTGCCTCCCAGGTTCACGCAATCCTGCCTCAGCCTCCTGAGTAGCTGGGACAACAGGCTCATGCCACCACACCCAGCTAATTTTTTGTATTTTTAGTAGAGATGGGGTTTCACCGTGTTAGCCAGGATGGTCTCAGTCTCCTGACCTTGTGATCAGACTGCCTCGGCCTCCCAAAGTGCTGGGATTACACTCGTGAGCCACCGCGCCCAGCCTATGCTATGTCAAATTCTTAAATGTATTTGAGTCTGTTTCTGGCCTTGTATTTGGTTTTGATCTTTCTATCTTTTCTTCACTGCCAACACTGTTTTAATTATTGTATTTTTATTATATTTTGATATCTGTTAATACAAGTCTCATCTTTGAATTCTTCTTCTTCCTCTTCTTCCTCCTCATCCTCCTCCTTCTTCTTCTTTCTTCCTTCTTCCTTTCTTCTTTCTTCTTCCTCTGTCACCCAAGCTGGAGTGCAGTGGCGCAATCATGGCTCACTGCAGCCTTGACATCCCAGGCTCAGGTGATCCTCCTGCCTCAGCCTCCCGAGTAACTGGGACTACAGTGTGCTCAACCATGCCTGGCTAATTATAAAAACTTCTTTCCTGTAGAGATGGGGGTCTCCCTGTGTTGCCCAGGCTGGTCTTGAATACCTGGGCTCAAGTGATCTTCCTGCCTCAGCCTCCCAAAGTATTGGGATTACAAGTGTGAGGCACTGTGCCTGGCCTGAATTCTTCTTTATCAAAATATTCTGATTGTTTGTCACCCAATTATATGTATAGGTAAACTTTAAAATTATTTTGTCGAATTTCAATGGAAGTTCACTTGTGAATTATTGATTTTGTTATGTAATTTGGTAACAATGGACATTTCGGTAGTATTGGAGCTTCCCATCTAAGAATGGGCTCCACATTTCCATGGAAAAGTGTCTCTTAATACTCCTGCACTTCATGGCAAACATAAAGTTAATAAATAGATTACCTTTATATTCTTAGTTTTGAGGGCCCTTGTGCATTTCCTGAAGAAGCAATTGAAAGGAGGGAGATGATAACATTGAGCACCCATGTGCACTCAGTAAGTTGTAATTGTGTCCCCATAGTCTTCCCTTGGCAGAGTTAGTGGAGTGGACAGGCTGCCCTTGAATGTTCAGGGTGGATTAACCATGCAAGTTCCTTGCTTCTCTCCTGCATCTTGATTTCTTGCTTTTGATTTTATCCCTACCTCTCTGAACTTGCGTGGAAGGAAGAGAAAAAAACAGGAAGTTTTAAGCTTCGTTTGGTTTACTTCTTGCATATACAACTTTTTTTGATGTGAGTTGAGATTAAACCTAATGGCCAATGACCACAAGTAATAAAGATTGATTGCATTTTAAATTTAGTATCTTACCTTGTCTCTCATAATTTGTTCCAAAGAGCTGTTTCATAGTTCTTTTAATTGAATTCTGGCCTAATTGTTTCTATTATTTTTGTTCATTTACTAGATTTGCTGTCGCTTTCACAGAGTCAATGAAGGAAATGGCACAAGCGCAGTGGGTATGTGTTTATCTGGTGTTGTTATTTTGGTTGTGCTGATGAAATTGCAGAATTGGAGAACTGAAAGGCAGCCTTACTGAGCCGATAGTGTTCCCATGGATGGTGCCTGTTGTGGCCACAATAGCGTGTTGTTTCCCATAGATAGATTTTGTGTGTGTAGATGCACCTGAAACGTCCCTGATATTTTTTGATGTTGTTATTGAACGACAAAAATAGCCCAGTAATGTGTTGTCTGTGTTTCTTTGTTGTTGTTGTTGTTTTGTTTTGTTTTTTTTGAGATGGAGTCTTGCTCTGTCACCCAGGCTGGAATGCAATGGCACGACCTCAGCTCACTGCAACCTCCGCCTCCCGGGTTTAAGCAATTCTCCTGCCTCAGCCTCCTGAGTAGCTGGGATTACAGGTGCGCACCACCACGCCTAGCTAATTTTTTTGTATTTCTAGTTGAGATGGGGTTTCACCACGTTGGTCAGGCTGGTCTCGAACTACTGAACTCAAATGATCTGCCCGCCTCAGCCTCCCAAAGTTCTGGGATCACAGGCGTGAGCCACCGAACCTGGCCCTGTTTTCTTCTGTGTTCTCAGATCGGGTGATTTATCAGCTGCAGCATAAATGTTGTGGCAACCTTGTATACATGAGAGTAACCATCGCTTAGGTGGCAGAGGTAGTTTCCTGGGTTGGACCGTTTATTAGAAGAGCTTTAAACAGATAAGAGTTTGTAGATCCATAAGTTAATTCATTTACTGACTTTTTATTCATGATGACTCATAGGGCAGGTATATGAGCTGGTGGGAGCCTAACTTAATTCTCAGTAAGGAGCTATGTGAACGCACCGTACAGCTGGTGCCTGCAAAACTAAAGAAAAAAGCTAAAGGTCAGGTTCCCTTTGGTGGGCGAGGTTGCTGTCTCTGGCGGTGGGAACTGCACTGAGCCTGCTCCACCAGTGCTGTTAGGGCTTGTGCTGCGCCAGTTAATCCACCGTGCACTGTGTGGATGCCCTGATCATTTGCAGGCTGTGCCCTTTCTTTATAGAATTGCAACTTGCAAAATGGTGGTACTTGGGAACTGCTGCATTGGGACAAGGGCAGAACCCAGTCATCTGTGGTCTCTTCCGAAAGCTCAGGATGCCAGCCATCTGTGAATGTGAAGTTGCACACGCCCCTGACTGCGCACAGTCTTACTCTTTATGTCAGACTTTTCCCAAGCAGAGCATGGAGATTGTATTTCCTAGTGCAATTTAATGACTTGTCAATCTCAGTATTAGAAAACCCAACAGGCATCCTGGTTTCCAGTTTTATTGTAGTACCTTTTTTTTTTTTTTTTTTTTTTTGAGATAGAGTCTCATGCTGTCACCCAGGCTAGAGTGCAATGGTGCTATCTCGGTTCACTGCAACCTCTGCCCCCCGGGTCCAAGCGATTCTCCTGCCTCAGCCTCCTGAGTGACTGGGACGACAGGCATGCACCATCATATCAGGCTAATTTTTGTATTTTTAGTAGAGACACGGTTTCACCATATAGGCCAGGCTGGTCTCAAACGCCTGACCTCAAGTGATCCACCCACCTCAGCCTCGCAAAGTGTTGGGGCTACAGGCGTGAGCCACTGCACCCGGCCTACCTGTTGGACTATCTGTCTGGCTTCTTAAGGTAGTTTTCAAACCAGTGGTTACCAAAATGGGGTCCCTGGACCTCTGAGGTTCCCCGGGACTCTTTCAGGGCCTCCACCAAGTCAAGCCTTTTCTAAATAATAATGCGAAGGCTTTTCTTTTGGCTTTTCTCATGGTGTAAAACGCCATGATGAGCAAAAGTGCTGCTGCCTGAATACTAATAAAGGCAGGAGGCCCATCTGTGCTAATATTCACTGATTAGTCACCGCCACCCACTTAAGCCAATTTCACTTAAAAATGTCCTTGATGAAAATATACAAATTATTAGCTTTTCAAATATTAACCTTTGAATACATGTTGTTATTGTTTTTTTAGTAGAGACGGGGTTTTGCCTTCTTGGCCAAGCTGGTCTTGAACTCCTGACCTCAAGTGATCTGCCCTCCTCGGCCTCCCAGAGTGCTGGGATTACAGGCGTGAGCCACTGCACCTGACCTTTTCTCTCTCCTCTTTTTTTTTTTTTTTTTTTTTTTTGAGATGGAGTCTCGCTCTGTTACCCAGGCTGGAGTGCAGTGGTGCGATCTCAGCTCACTGCAACCTCCGCCTCCCGGGTTCAAGTCATCCTCCTGCCTCAGCCTCCCGAGTAGCTGGGATTACAGGTGCCCACCACCACGCCTGGCTAATTTTTGTATTTTTAGTAGAGATGGGATTTCACCACGTTGGCCAGGCTGGTTTCGCACTCCTGACCTTGTGATCTGCCTGTCTTGGCTTCCCAAAGTGCTGGGATTACAGGTGTGAGCCACCGCACCCAGTCTCTCTTTTTTTTTTTTTTTTTTTTTTTTTTTTTGTTAAGAGATAGGCTCTCACTCTGTTACCCAGGCTGGAGTACAATGGTGCAATCATGGCTTACTGGAGCCTCGAACACCTGGGCTCAAGCCATCCTTCTACCTCGGCCTCCCAAAATGCTGAGATGACAGGCATGAGCCACTGTATGTGGTCAAATTTGAATTTTCAAGTAGAGATTAGAATTTTGGAAAGCCAGCATGAGGTTGTTGGTTTCCCAATATCTGAAGGCTTTCCTGACGAGATCGGTGGTTATACTAACAAATGTGACTTCTTTGGATGTTGTATAATGAAATGTTTAAACATTTGAAAGATCTCCATGACTCCGTGAGCCAGTATGTTTTAAATGACCGATACGTGACCTATAGAATCAGGTATAGGTGAAGATCAGTTCAAAGTACCAGGTAGACTAATGGACTTTAAGATAACTGAGTATAAAAGTTCCCTAATGCAGCTAAACTTTAAGAAATTGCCACTTGTTGAGTTTGGGTCCAGCGTCCAAGAATAATGCCTACAGTGATGTGAAAGGCTATCAAAATACTCTTTCTTTTCCTACTACCTGTCTGCAAGATGTAGGATGTTCTTTATAAACCTCAACCAAAACAACATGTTGCAACAAATTAAATGAAACAGCAAACATGGGAACCCAACTGTGTTGGTTAAGACAGATATTAAAGAAATAATTGCCAGGTGTGGTGGCTCACACCTGTAATCCCAGCACTTTGAGAGGCTGAGGTGGGCGGATCACCTGAGGTCAAGAGTTCAAGACCAGCCTGGCCAGCATGACGAAACCCTGTCTCTACTGAAAACACAGAAAATTAGCTGGGCATGGTGATGTGCACCTGTAGTCCCAGCTACTCAGGAGGTTGAGGCAAGAGAATTGCCTGAACCCAGGAGGCCGAGGTTGAAGTGAGCAGAGATGGTGCCACTGCAAGACTCTGTCTCATAAAAAGAAAAAAAAAAGAAAGAAATATTTTACCTGTGGAAGCATGCTCCTTCTCCATGAATTCACTGCCCTTTTCTCTAAATCGTCAGCCTTCAATGCCATCCTCCACCACAAATCCTTCCTTGACCCTCCAAAATTGGCATAGATGAGTTCCCCTCCTCTGTCAGTTACCGTTTGCTGCTTAACAAACCAGTTGCCTTAAACAACAGGGTGGCCTCACTTCCATGCCTGGACCTTAGCTGGGATGGTGGGGACCCCTGAGGCCTGTCTCCACGGTGTCTGTCATCCTGTTTTAGGCTCAGCAGGAGGAGAGAACAGGCCCCAACCCACAAGCACATTCCAGGCCTCCGCCTGTGATAGGCTTGCCTCCTTACCATTGACCAAAGCAACTCAACGGGTGGAGATACGGTTCCTACCTCCTAATGAGAGGATCTTTAATGCTGCCTCACTAAAAGGGTGCGGATGCAGGGTGGGGAAGAATTGATGGCCTCTGTTACCATCTGCCACACTTCCTGTTTGTCTCTAATGAGTGTAACCTGTTTTATTTCCTTACCTGTGCTTCTCAAGCGGTGAGCTTCTTGAGGAAGGGACATGATATAGTCACTCGTGCATCCCTGGAGAAGAGTATACTGTCTCATGCCCAATGAATATCCATTAAATTGATTGATTAGGAATGACTCCTCCTTTAGAACCTTTTTATTTATTTATTTATTTATTTATTTATTTATTTATTTATTTATTTATTGAGATGGAATCTTGCTCTTTCACCCAGGGTGAAGTGCAGTGGTGCAATCTCAGCTCACTGCAACCTCCGCCTCCCGAGTTCAAGCTATTCTCCTGGTTCAGACTCTCAAGTAGCTGGGATTACAGGTGTGCACCACCATTCCTGACTAATTTTTTTTTTTGTATTTTTAGTAGATACTGGGTTTCACCATGTTGGCCAGGCTGGTCTCGAACTCCTAACCTTGTGATCCGCCCATCTTGGTCTCCCAAAATGCTGGGATTAGAGGCATGAACCATCGCGCTCAGGCAGAACTTTTTTTTTTTTTTTTTGAGATGGAGTCTTGCTCTGTTGCCCAGGCTGGAGTGCAGTGGCGCAGTCTAGGCTCACTGCAACCTTCGCCTCCCAGGTTCAAGCGATTCTCCTGCCTCAGCCTCCTGAGTAGCTGGGATTACAGGCACCTGCCATCCTGCCCAGCTAATTTTTGTATTTTTATTAGAGACCGAGTTTCACCATGTTGGCCAGGGTGGTCTCAAACCCCTGACCTCGTGATCCACCTGCCTTGGCCTCCCAAAGTGCTGGGATTACAGGCATGAGCCACTGCACCTGGCCAGAACTTTTTATTAAAGAAATTTTCAGGCATACATAAAAGTAGAAAGAATAGTAGAGTGAGCCCTTAGGTGCCCACCACCCAGTTTACTATTCCTTGATTCTTACCTACTCTACTTCCTCCTAAATACACACACACACTTATACTCACCTACACACACACATACAATGTTTTCTAGAATAATTTGAAAAATCACAAGTATCATGCCATTTCACCTATAATTAGATGCCATTTTACCTGTGAATGTACTTCGATAAAGACTTTTTTTAAAAACCATAAACACTATGGTACAGGTAACTTTTTTATTGGCAGACCACAGTCGGTAAGGAAGAAATAAAGAGGGGTTTAAGAGTGTTCATACAACCTAACGTTTTTATCAGTACAGTTTGGAAGAAATCATGGAAAAGAGTTTGGATGGGGAAAAGGAGAGGAATTGAATCATTTCGTTCCAGATGTATTGAATTAGAGACAAATATTGGACTCAGAGGGGAATAGAGCTGAGAATGTAGGGCTGTCCTCAGAGGAGGGCACAATTAGGGACACGGACGTGTGAGTCACTGGTGTCCAGGTGATGGTTAAAGCATGGAAACAGTCTTTTTTGTTTTTTTGAGACAGAGTCTTGCTCTGTCACCCAGGCTGGAGTGCAGTAGCATGATCTTGGCTCACTGCAGCCTCTGCCTCCGGGGTTCAAGCAATTCTCCTGCCTCAGCCTCCCAAGTAGCTGGGATTGTAGGTGCTTGGTGGACCACCACACCCAGCTAACTTTTGTATTTTGAATAGAGATGGGGTTTCACCATGTTGGCCAGGCTGGTCTTGAACTCCCGACCTCAGGCGATCCACCCGCCTTGGTCTCCCAAAGTTCTGGGATTACAGGTGACTGCCACCACGCCAGGCTAATTTTTGTATTTTTAATAGAGACTGGGTTTCACCATGTTGGCCAGGCTGGTCTCTAACTCCTGACCTCAAGTGATCTGCCCACCTCAGCCTCCCAAAATGCTGGAATTACAGGCATGAGCCACTGTGCCTGGCCCATTTCCTACCCTGAACAAACACTGCTGTCAGGTATCACACCACTTACGCCGCTTCCCAGAAGGTAAGGGGGCAGATCATGCCTCTCTTTGGTCAAGGTCAAATTTCCTAGTACACACTCACTATATTCCAAAACATTATCTCAACATGTCATCAATATGAAAGTTACTAGTGACATATTTTACCTTTTTTTTGTATGAAGTCTTTGAAATCTGGAGTGTATTTTATACTCACAGCACATCTTAATTCAAACCGGCTGCTTTACAGGTGCCCTGGATCAGCCGCCTGTGGCGGGGGCCGTTGTGTGCTCAGGGCAGCTCTGTTTCAGGATTTCTGAAACACTTACTCACACGGTATCTGATCATGGAGGACACATGAACAGACATGTGCCAAATGAGGGTTCATTTGTAACCCGTGAGTGAACTTCAGCCCCCAGGGGTGCTCTTACGGAAACACTGTCTTGGGAGCTACCTGTCTCTGACTGACCCTTCACAAATTAGTTTGATTGGATTTCAATAAAGATGGTTTTATCTCTTTTAATTTGAAATGCCTTTGTTTATGCTCAGGTCATTATTTTTTAGTGTGTTTATATCAGCCTTAATTTGACATTGTACCTACTTTGTAAAATATACAATCCTAGTGGGCTCCTCACCAGGTCAGCATACTACGCTGTTAATGCCTAGCACACGTGATCAACGTAGGTCATGGTTTGGGATATGGCATTACTGTGTTGGTTTGTGATATTATAATATATCTTTTAAGTGTGTTTTTTTTTTCTTTATTAAAGGGGTCTCACTCTGTTGCCCAGGTTGGGTGGAGTACAGGGGCATGATCATGGCTCACTGCAGCCCCAAACTCGTGGGCTCAAACGATCCTCTCCCCTCAGCCTCCTGAGTAGCTGGGACTACAGGCCCATGCCACCACACCTGGCTGAAATTTTTACTTTTTTTTTTTTTTTTTTGGTAGAGATGAGGTCTCACTGTGTTGCCCAGGCTGCTCTTGAACTCCTGGCCTCAAGTAGTTCTCCTGCTTCAGCCTCCTAAAATGCTAGGATCACAGGCGTGAGCCTCTGTGCTGGCCAGTTTCTGATATTATAATATTGATTTGACATTTTCAAGAATTTGATTCACTTCACATTTCTGATCCTGAGTTATATATTGTGGAAAGTTTGAAAATATCTTATGTAGGATTTTGATTTCTTGCTACAATATGTAATAGATATTCAGGATGCAAACTTGAGTACTTCTAGTTCTAGTCCACGTTTAGAGTATTTTGTCTAAATTCATCAGCATTTCACCAGAAAATGTAAAAATTTCACCAAAAAGAAAAAAAACACCCACAAACAAACGTACATCTTAATGGAAGCTTCTACCAGGAGAAGCAATGATTATGGTTTAATATGTCTCCATTGAGTTCAAAACCCCTCATGCCTGTTTTCATACTCTTTTCCTAATAAGCATTCTTCTAAGAGGACATGTAATCTAAACTCAAATATTTATTTATGAGCTATATTTTTAACATCCTGTTTAAGTAAATATTGCTTGAAGCAGTTATCAAATTCAACAACAACAACAAAAAGCACAGTTCCATTCATAATGGCCCATCAATATGCTTTGCAAGCATGGAGCTAAGTTTTCAGGTGTCTTTAGAGTGAGGTTTTCCTCTTTTTTTCTTCTTTTTTTCTTTTTCTGGAAACTTTGAGTTACCACCTTCTGGGGCCTAATTTATCTACTTTGCCTTGGCACTTGTTAAAGAAAAGTAACTTCTGGAAGTTGTTGTATTAGGCAATACCTAAAGTGTAATTTTACTTTGTGTACATTGACTCATCAAAATTCTTTTGGAAATTAAAATATAGAAAGCAAGACAGATCTCATTGGCTGTCACACGTGCAGTTCCTGTACAGGTGAGCTCCACAAGTCAGCGCAGATGTTAGCGCTGGCGTAATCGGAATGAGCTACGTGTCGACTTATCCCTGAAGTCTGCAGTAGAAGCATGTTGTCTTCTGAGCTACTTATTACTTCTCTCTCTTCCCGCATGGCCCATTGCTTTGTGTCTGATTACCTCAGAAAGTCATCTTGGTAGCAGCTGAAACTAAGCCCACACCTTTTATTAGAGTTTCCACCCTCCTGGAAACATAAAAACGCACTGAGCACACGGACTTCGCCTCTAGAATTCCTCGTTTCTGTGCCAGCCCTCTCACCTCTGCAGGAGAAGCTCCAGGCATTGATCATGTCCCAGGAAGCTAATCCTTTTTAATAGCTTCTATGAAGCTGAGCCTTCATTGGAGATTTCTGGATAGAACTGCAAATGTTCTTTATGTCTGTGTGGGGTTTTTTGGTTTCCCGCTACGTGAGATCCCTGGGAATGGAGAAGTTTTAAAGGAACTTAAAAGTATGAAAAATGCATCCATTCCAGAGCATAGATCTTGAGTTTACTTTTTCCATGACCCAGGACTCAAATGTGTGGTACCATCACAAGAATTGTTTCTAATTCATTAAATTGCCAAGGCAGAGCATGGTAGGGGAATCTTCTGAATAAAACGAACAATCCTTCTGAGTTGTTTACTCCATACAATTTAATCGTTTTAAAAAACGAAAATCTTCTCTGGAAATTTCCTGTTGATGTTCCCGTTTCTTGAGTCACCCCCCTAGATTGGGTGCCTCACTCTCATCCTTTGATTTTGTGAAGGGTCACAGGTTGTTCTTTTAAATTTATTTAACTATTTATTTTTTTTAGACGAATGTTGCTCTGTCTTCCACGCTGGAGTGCAGTGGCGCGATCTCAGCCCACTGCAGCCTCTGAAAGTCCTGGGATTAGCGGTGTGAGTCCCTGCGCCTGGCTGGATTTTGTTAATTCCATCTCTATGCCTGCTCATGTTGGACCTGAGAGAATCCTATCCCAGTCTAGTTTTAACATTTGTTTCTCATCTCACCCATGTATATTCTTTTTTATTTTTTGAAAAATTGTTCTACCCAAGGGGGAAGACTTGACAGCTCAGCTAGGTGCTACTGGGTTCTGTGTGGTGGCTGGCGTTTCTGTGGGACAGGGAGGACAGCAGGAAGGAAAACAAACACAATAGGTCCAAACGTCATTCCACTGGGTTTCGATACTGGCTTTGCAGCCAGTCTTGCATTTCTGACCTGTGCCATGCATCTGTGATGAAGCAGGACACCAGCGCTTCTTCCTCATATTCCAGAATCCCAACTCTTGAAAACCTCTTTGTTTGTTGTTAAAATGTTGTGAAGTGTTAGTGTCTGGACATTTTTTTTTCTAGGAAAAATGATTACTTCCTAGTAAAAAAAGAAAAGAAACAGAAAATCGTTCTTTTTCTGGTTCTATTGCAGGAGTTCAGTGGCAAGGTTGAATCTCCCCACACACACCTCCCCTTCCTTTTGAATATTATTTTCTTTTTTTATGCACAATAACAGATTTCTAAGGGAAAAGAGTAGAGGGAGGAAAAAAGACACCATGACCTTGAAAAGTGCCCAGTTTCTATGTGTTTTGTGGCTTAAATCTATTTTGTAACTTTATGTGTATGGGCCATCATGTCTTTTAAGCGATTTGTAATCGTTTCAGAAGTAGTTTTAACAAAGCCACAATCTGCAGTTGTATTATAATTTCAGAACAAAAACTATTATTTTTGCCATCTGTAGAGCATAAAATTGTGCCTGTATTTCAAAAATAATCTATTGTGGTTTCCATTTGCAGAAAGTTTAATTTTAGAAGGTGAATCTCTGGCTTATATGTAGTCAAAGAATGGGAAGTTCTTTGGTTGATGTTATTCCAGCATGAAAAGGCATCAGTTAACCCTTGGGTCTGTTAGAAGTCCATCTATTTATAGGTATCTATCCTATAGGATCCTGGCTTTTTACATCCAGTAATGAGCCAAAGAGGTAACAGTTGCTGATAAACACACCTCAGTGTTTGCCATTGTGTGCACTAATGACCTTATCTGCAAGGCAGGACTTTGACTCGTGTTATTTCAAGGCAGATAGAACAATAATAAATATTGAGCAAAGAAAGCTAATTTGTATTTGTTACACTTTCATATAGAAAATGTTTTTCAAAATCAATATAAGCCAATTGGCTTTTGCCAGATTTCTTTTATTGCAGTGATTAAAAATAACTCAGGTCTAGACTTCCGTTATGCTGCAACTCTATTTCCTCCGTTTGCCTGGATGAGATCTGAAAATACCATTTATGAAATGCTTTTCAATTGATTTTAGAAAAACGCTGCTCAGAGATGTGGGAAGATCAGCAGATAAGTCCAGAAATCTTCACATTCAGTCAATTCCTTCTGCTTACAGAGCTGAGATACAAGTTTAACTCAATTTTTTTTTTTTTTTTGGTGGAAAAAGGAGATTCTTGACGGGAACATTTTGAGTTTATGTATTGCTAATTGCAGGGCATATTTCCAATGAAAATAGTGACAAAAACTTTATGTTGCCTCCCCTTATATTTATCTAGGATTCTGCTGAATCGGTTATTGTCAAACACTTACATTAACTTGAAAGTTACATGCCATGGTGTTCTATTGCGAGTGCTTTACCATCCATCTTCTAGATGTCGCCAGGCGAGTGTTTTGGACACAGGGTTGTTTCAGGAGAAAATACTCCGAGCCTCCACTACACTCGAGTAACAGCAATTCCAGCTTTCCAGGGAAATTAGAATTCAGCAAAAGGAATAGTTTAGGGCTCTGAACTGCAACTTCTAATTTCAGTGGTTGCCATTAGCCTTTTTTTTCCATTAAAGTTAATGTCTTTTTTAACTGGTAGAGAAGAGGTTTTTGAAAGTCTCTCGTAAAGGTTTACTATTTTAAGGGCATTTGGGATACCACGCATATCCACTTGCATGGCGAAGTGGGGAGGAGAGGCAAGACTTCTGGAGGCGTGAGATGCTTGCTGTAGTTAAATACAAAATGTGATGATAAGGACAAAACCAACGCCACACCAAGCCTTGTGTGTACCCACCACCTTCTTTATTTTTATTTTTTTTTAATTTTTGAGGCAGAGTCTCACTGTGTCGCTTAGTCTGGAGTGCAATGGCACAATCTTGGCTCACTGCAACCTCCACCTCCCGGGTTCAAGCGATTCTCCTGCCGCAGCCTCCCAAGTAGCTGGGACTACAGGCGTGTGCCACCGCAGCTGGCTACTTTTTGTATTTTTAGTAGAGACAGGGTTTTACCATTTTGCCCAGACTGGTCTTGACCTCCTGACCTCACATGATTTGCCTGCCCCAGCCTCTCAAAGTGCTGGGATTATATGGGTGAGCCACTGGGCCTGGTCATGCCACCCACCTTTTGCCTGGATGCTGCCTCTGCCAAACCTTTCCAGGCTTGGGGAGGGCCAGTCTCCTTCCTGTTGATTGACTCGCCCTTGGCAGGGCTGCTTCACCCTTGACTTGTGTCCCAAAATATAAAACTAACGTGGGGACAACGTCCAACGTGGGCCAGCATACCCCATGCAGTGTCGAGGGCTCCCTGGTACCCTAAAGACCACACTGGATCCCTATACTGAGAAAGGACAGGGGTGTGACTTCTGTGACCTCCAGGGATCTAGCTAGTTCAGTCATTTCATGCATTGATCAGGCTTATGTCACATGACAAAAAGACATCCATTTTTGGACTCTTTCACCAAAATGACAGCCTATTTTGATCGCTTGAGAGAAAGCGTCCTTGGCATGGACTTGCTCCACCAGCCGTTCTAGAGAGGGTCTCACTCTGCTCCTGCCTCCACCTTTCCATCTAAACGTCAATCTTAAAAATATTCCTGCCACTGTTTCCAAATGAACTGGAGAAGTGGATTGTATTTCTAGTAGTTTTGTGACATTCTGCCAGAAAACACGGCAAGGAATAGTAAGTTGATATCTTGGTACAAATACCCAAATCAGTCATGCCAGGGCCGCCTTTTCCTTGGTGCCAGGGAGGCCTTTGGGGAGGCCCTTACCAGACGCTTTCCATCCGGCTGTCCTCCCTTGCCTGGAAGGATCTGCCTCCTAGGGCCTGTCTTTGGTTTCCTAACATATTGGCAGCTCCTCCTTCTCCTCCTACTCCTTTCTTCATCTTTTCTGGGGGTGGTGGAAGTACTCTTCGCCTCAGGGTTGCGTAAGTCATATGGTGCTTCCGCAGGCTTCCACCTCCACGCTGCGGCAGGAGCTGCTCCAGCTGGGCCGGCGCTGGCATGCTCTCTGGCTGAACCTCAGTAATGTCTCCACTAACACAGCAAGTGTGACATTGCAAAATTGCATTAGGCCTCATTTAAGAGACTCTCTTTGTGTGTGCTTCTTACCTTATAGAGGCTGTATTTTTAATGGCAAAACCTATTAAAAGAGAAGTAACGCTTTGCTCTTAGAGAGGGGTAAGTCTGTGAGCAGGTGTGTAGATGATTCTCAGTGATGTTTTCCAGGATGGCTTTTTTTGTTAATGATCTTCATTTTATTTCTAAAAAGCAGTTGTCATGCACTGTCCAATGTACTGCTCTTTTCTTTCTCCCCTCCTTTCAAAAGCCGCAGGCTAAGGGTAAGATCTACGTCCAGAGTCAAGGTAAGCATTTTCAAATATTTATTTACTTATGTACAGGGATAGAGAGTGAATAAATAGATGTATATTTATATGTGATAAATATATATATTTAAAAGAATACGTTTGCACCCTTAAGAGACATATATTGAGATGTTTATGAAGGAGATAATATGATTTCTGAGATTTACTTAAAAATAATCAGTGAAATGGCTACTTTTTTTTTTTTTCTTTTTTGAGACAAGGTCTGGTGCAGTCGTGCGATCTCGGCTTACTGCAACCTCTGCCTCCTGGGTTCAAGCGATTCTCTAGCCTCAGCCCCCCCAAGTAGCTGGGACTACAGGTGTGAGCCACCATGCCCAGCTCAATTTTTTTTGTATTCTTTGTAGAAACGGGGTTTCACCATGTTGCCAGATTGGTCTTGAACTGCTGGGCTCAAGCAGTCTGCCTGAGAATGGCTACATTGTTACAATTTTTCTAACATTAGAATAAAAGATAAATAGGAGAAATTATAAAATAATGATTTAAAATGCAGATCACTTAACATTTTCCACCAGTAGAAGTACGATATACTCCATCGGCAGTATGTTTGGAAAAAACAAACCAAACCAAATGCAGGGCTTCTGTTTCGGCTGACTTGAGTTGGGGGACCTGGAACTCTTCTCCCTTCATCCTCCCCTTTCCTCCCTGCCCAATCCTACCCCTATGGTGACATCCAAAGCCCTTCATCAAACCCTCTGAGGTTTAAACATAGGTTTTTGTTTTTGTTTTTGTTTTTGTTTTTGTTTGAGATGGAGTCTCATTCTGTTGCCCAGGCTGGAGTGCAGTGGTGCAATCTTGGATCACTTCAACCACTGCCTCCTGGGTTCAAGCAACTGTCCTGCCTCAGCCTCCCGAGTAGCTGGGACTACAGGTGCCCCCCAGCACGCCCAGCTAATTTTTGTACATTTTGTAGAGACAGGGTTTTACTGTGTTGGCCAGGCTGATCTGGAACTCCTGACCTCAGGTGATGCGCCTGCCTCGGCCTCCCGAATTGCTGGGATTCCAGGTGTGAGCCACTGTGCCTGGCCTCTCTAAATAGAGTTTGTAAACCACTGTACTACACGATAAAAATAATGGAAAGCCTAGATCCATGGAAGAACGTGTAATTCGCCCCAAGCTCAGGTTAGAACAAGTGCAGACACTGAGGCCAGGCATTCGTGCCTCCCGAGGACTTCCATGGTGCTCAGGCGCACCTTAGTGAGACATGCCATCCTGCCATCACCGTGTCCTTGCTGCACTGGCCTCAGTGACATTTTTAGCAGGTGCAGCAGGAAAGACCTGGGCTCTGAGGCAGTGCGTAGGTTTGAACACAGCGTCTACCACCTCCACCCTGCGCATTTTGAAGCCCGTTTAACCTCTTGGAACCTCAGTGTCCAGCTGGATAAACTGGAGGAACCAGTCTGCTCAGTGGGCCTTTAAGGGCTACAGTGGAGTATGGAAAGTGCCTACATGCGGTCGGAGCCCAGGGCTGGCTTGAAGCGGACGCTCGTTAAATAGCCCTTGTCAGTATCATTCAGTGTGAATAATGATTACGCAGGTGGATTTTAGAGGTGGTTAGACGACTTGATTTACTTACGTTTTATAAAATTTCAAAATGTTTCTGTTACCAAGATAACGTGTTAGATAGTACCTCTGGATTTTCTAAATTGTAAAATATTTGTTTTTTTTCAGCAAAAATTAAATGTAACTTCTCTCTCTGAGAAAGTAATAGCCAACAGACCATCAGGCATGAGTTGGTGAGGGTTGAGAGTGAGGATTTTAAAGGGAGGTATAATTTTCACATGGAGCTTAGTTGACAGTGTGTTTGAAACCTGTCACTTCCTGGTGTTTTTAAGGAACTCATGGTTTGTCTAACCCAGTTTGGGCCTGTCATGGATCCTGGGGCTGAAAGGGGTGGGTCTTTTCTCATGTGGAATCTGTGGGCTCTTTTTAACCCTCCCGTGCTGAAGGATTCATGGGACTTCAGTGACGCACTCAGAGCATCGAGTGGCTTTGTAAAAACCAGCTGGTACCATTATTTAAACTTCAACACAAGTGGGCCATGCATGGTGGCTTACACCTGTAATCCCAGCACTTTGGGAGGCTGAGGCGGGTGGACCACTCGAGGTCAGGGGTTCGAGACCAGCCTGGCCAACATGGCGAAACCCCGTCTCTACTGAAAATACAAAAATTAGCCGGGTGTGGCAGCGGATGCCTATAATCCCAGCTACTCCGGAGGCTGAGGCAGGAGAATCGCTTCAACCCGGGAGGAGGAGGTTGCAGTGAGCTGACACTGGGCACTGCACTGCAGTCTGGGCGACAGAGCGAGACTCTGTCTCAAAATGATAATAATAATAGTAATAATAATAATAAGCCTCAACACAAAATAACTGGTTGCATTTCAGCAATCACATCAAAGTGAATTTGCCCTTTTTTTGTTTCTTTGACCCAGGAATTGCAACAACACCTAACGCCGCTTTTAACTGGAATACCTTTCTTCGACGCTCCGGTGAGATATGAGATCTTCTTAGAGGATTTTGAGGAAGCGCATCTTGTCAGTTACTTTCAGGAGCTTGTGACGTTCATGTGGTTTTGAAAAAGTGGTTGTCCGGGAGAACAAGGTTGATTTCCCTCTGTCTATGACTTCATGAGTAGTTTTACCCTTTTGAGGAACAGCAGGGCTAGAAAGCCGGAGAGACAGGGGCTCCGGCCCTTTCTGATGCTGTTTTTAGCAACTGCTTCCCAAATTTTCAGTACCATTTCCTGTGACATTTGTTCTTTATAAGAATAACAACCTCATGTGTTCATTTTATTTTACTTTACTAACTACACACATAATTAAATTACCATTATAGAAAAATGAGAAAATATCAGAATATGCAACACATTTTTTTTTTGTTTTTCTTTTTGAGACGGAGTCTCGTTCTGTTGCCCAGGCTGGAGTGCAGTGGTGTGATCTAGACTCACTGCACCCTCTACCTCCCGGGTTCAAGCGATTCTCCTGCCTCAGCCTCCTAAGAAGCTGGGACTACAGGCATGCGCCACCAAGCCCAGCTAATTTTTGTATTTTTAATGGAGATGGGGTTTTGCCGTATTGGCCAGGCTGGTCTCGAACTCCTGATCAGGTGATCCACCCACCTCGGCCTCCCAAAGTGCTGGGATTATAGGCATGAGCCACCGGGCCCGGCCAAAAAATGCAACAAAAATTTAAATCACTTGAAATTTCATCACCAAAAAGGAACTGCTATTAATGTTTGATGTGATCTTTCTCAACAATTTACATGTAAATAATGATTTTTCAAAGACAAAATCAAGCTTCACTTACTACTCTAACCTGCCTTCTTTGCTCATTATGTCAATAGAATAGAGTGAACTCGCCCTTTTTAAAAAAATATCTGAAGTTTCTATATAGTGAAATGAAGAGATCTCAAGTACAAAATTAGGTCAATGTTTGACAAATGTGTATGCCCATGTAACAAATACCCTGATCAAGACAGGTAACATTTCCACCAGGCAAGGAAGTTCTCTCATGCCCTCTTCCATATTTAATTTCTGTCTCTTTATAGGCGACTCCTAGTCTAGCTTTTCTTATCTTAGATTAGTTTTACCTGTTCTTGAACTTCATCTAAGTGGAGTCCTGCGTTAAATAATTTTTTGTATCTGGCTTTCTTTGTTCAACGAATGTTTTTGAGATTTATCCCTATTGTGTGTATCTGTAGTCCTTTTCTTCTTAGTACTCTATTTTGGAATGGTGTATTCCATTCCATATATCACAAATTGTTTACCTCTTCTTCTATGGATGAACTTTTAGCTTGTTTTCAATTTTTAACCATTACAAATACATTTACTAAGAATATGCTTGTGCAAGGTTTTTTGGTGACCTACGTTTTCACTTCTCTTGGATAAATGCCTCTAAGTCAAATAGCTTGACTATATGATTAACATTATAAAAAAATATCCAAACAGTTCTCCAAGGTGTGCCATCTTACACTTCCGCAGAAGCTGGCAAGAGCTTCAGTTACTCCACGTTCTCGCCCACCGGTAGAGTAGACGGTCTTTTCAATTTTAGTTCTTCTCGGGAGATAATGAAATGGTGTCTCATTGTCATTCTTCTGAGTTTCATTTCCCCGATGATTAATTTTGTTCAGCACCTTTTTATATGCACGCTGGCCATTCATGTATCTTGTTTGGTGAGTGTCTAGTCAATTGTATGTGTGTCTTTTAATTACTGGTTTGCAGAACTTCCTTATATTCTAGGTCCAAACCTTTTGTCAGATAAATATATCGTTAATATTTTCTCCCATTCTCTGGCTTATATTTTCACCTGCTTAACCATGTCTTTTGAAGAGCAGAAGAGGTTTAAATTTTATTGAAGTCTAGTTTATCAAACTTTTTCTTTGATGGTTAGTGCTTTTGAGTCCTGTCTAGAAAATCTTTACCTACCCTAAGGTCACAAATATGCTTTTCTTTATTTTTTAAATGTCTTTAGAAGCTTGAGTGCTGTAGCTCTTTCATTTAGGATTATAAATCCATCTGAAATTACTGTTTGTGTGTTGTATGAGGTAGGAATCTTTTTTTTTTTTTTCTTTCTTAACAATATCCAGATGGTTCTGGCGTCATTTATTGGAAATGTTTTTCTTTGCCCATTGAATTGCTCTGGTGCCTTCGTTGAAAGTCAGTTTACTGTGTGTGGCGTTCCACTATCTATGCCTGTCTTTATTCCAGTACCATGCTGTTTTGTTGTTATAGGTTAATAGTAAGTCTAGAAACCAAGTAGTGTTAGTCAATAGCTTTGTTTCAGAATTATTTTAGCTATCCTAGGTTTTTTGCATATCAATTTAAATTTTGGGCTCAACTTGTCAATTTCTGTAAAATCCTGTTACATTGAACCTCCACCTTCCGGGTTCCAGCGATTCTCCTGCCTCAGCCTCCCCAGTAGCTAGGATTACAGGCATGCCCCATCACACCCGGCTAATTTTCTGTAATTTTTGGAGAGGGGGGTTTCACCGTGTTGGCCAGGCTGGTCTTGAACTCCTGACCTCAAGTAATCCATCTGCCTCAGCTTCCCAAAGTGCTGGGATTACAAGTATGAGCCACCTCGCCTGGCCTCTTGCTGCAAACTTCTAAGAAAAGACTGAAGATGCAAAATCAGTTCTCTGCCCTCAGCCTACAGAAAGACGCCCCAAGTCTGTTTTCATGCTAAAGACTTGAAACAAGAAGACATACATGCAGCCAAAAAACATATGAAAAAAGTTCGTCATCCACTGATCATGAGAGAAATGCAAATCAGAACCACAATGAGAACATCGCACGTCGGTCAGATGGCGATTATTAAGAAGCCAAGAAACAACAGATGCTGGCGAGCTTGTGGAGAAATAAGAATGCTTTTACCTGTTGGTGGGAATGCAAATTAGTTCAACCATTTTGGAAGACAGTGTGGCAATTCCACAAAGATACCATTTGACCCAGCAATCCCATTACTGGGTATATACCCAAAGGAATATAATCATTCTGTTATAAAGATACATGCACATGTATGTTCATTGCAGCACTATTCACAATAGCAAAGACATGGAATCAACTCAAATGCCCATCGATGATAGACTGGATAAAGAAAATGTGGTACACAGACACCATGGAATACTATGCAGCCATAAAAAGGAACAAGATCATGTCCTTTGCGGAAACATGGATGAAGCTGGAAGCCATTATCCTCAGCAAACTAAGGCAGGAACAGAAAACCAAACACCGCATGTTCTCACTTACAAGCGGGAGCTGAACAGTGAGAACACATGGACACAGGGAGGGGAACAACACACACTGGGGCCTGTCAGGGGAGGGCGGGGGTGGGGGTGTCGGGAGAGCATCAGGAAAACTAGCTAATGCATGTGGGGCTTGATACCTAGGTGATAGGATGATAGATGCAGCAAACCACCATGGCACACGTTTACTTATGCAGTAAACCTGGACATCCTGCACATGTATCCCGGAACTTAAAATAAAATAAAATGAAACAAAAAAGACTTGAAACAAAGCCTCTACCACATACTCTATGTGTCAGCTTTAAGTTCTATTGAAAAGAAAAATTTCCAAGCATTTTATCAGAAATGATTTTCGTAGTATACTCATCAATCTCAGCCACACTAGCATGGTTGTTCTCAGTGTTACAGATGAACCCATGCGACCTCAGCTGCTTTGTCATGTCAGTTACATGTACCATTATTCAGAACGAGGGGGCCCATTTTCAATTTCCTGTTGTAAAGCTAGTCTGTCTTCAATCTATCACAGGACGCAATGGCATTGTAACTAAGATTCATAATTTCCAGTAGGAGAATGATTTGTCGTCACGTTCCGTAGTCTCAGGGTTGACTGTTTCGTTGGTCTTGCTATTGAATGATTAAGGGAACAGCCAGGAGATTTTAAACACTCCTTAGAAAGCGTTTTCCTCTGGAGACCTACTTGGCTGCTGCTTAATCTTAATGTGTGCAATTAGAAGTTGTAAATGTATTCAGAATATATGGGCTTAGAGAGACTGGTTGTGGCTCTGGTAGCTGACAGTGGCAGATAATGGCTTAAGGGTAGATGTAGGATTAATCTGTGTCTCTGGGTTTTATGATCAGGCGTCTGTTCGCATTTGTGCCGTCGTTTGTCTTTGTCATCTCTCAGGCTCTGGGGATGGGCCGTCCTCATCATCCTTACTTTATCTTCCCTTGGCCTCTGGAGCATTGGAAACCTGTGACTATGATTTGTCCCTCCCACTTGGAGCTGCAGACAGTGAAAACAGAAGATAGAGTGAAGTTGGTAGAGACTATTAGTGATCAAATACCCTCTGCCTTCTCACCAACTATGAACCTTGAAATCAGGGGGAGTGGGTGGGAAGGACCTCATTTAACACTGCATATAAACAGTTGAGTAATGGAGTAGTCACCAGGGTTTGTAGTGTGCTGCTTAAATGTCTGATGTCTGCGTCACGATGCATTCTCCTCTTCCGGCATGTCACAGGTTTTCTTACCATTCTCAATTCTATCTCTAAGCCCCAGCTAACAAATTACTAAGTCTCCTTAATTTAAAACATTAAACGCCTCTTATGCTTACCATTATATCACATGCAAACAGATGAACTAAGAACAAATAAATAGTAAAGCAGGTTAAATATAGTAAATGGCATTGTTATAATTTTTTTCACACGATATTGGCAATAGCTATTCTGATTGAAAGATCGATGTGTGGACATCAAATTAGTTACCTGGTCTTTGAGTTTTTCTGTGCATTTCCAGATACATTTTAAGTGTGATGATTCCATGTTCTGTGAGTTTTGCCTTTAAATTGCAACGACCAACACAATCTAAAGTCATGATTCCTTTCAGGCTATCAAACCTAAAATGTATGAAAGCTTAAATTTGACTGGGTAACTCCTTCCTGGTTTTCTGATTTCTGTTTTATTGTATTTCTAGTTTTGTTTTGTTTTGTTTTTTTTTTGAGACAGAGTCTCGCTCTGTTGCCCAGGCT